TCCACATTTAAAAAATATTAAAACTAAAATCTATTTATTTATTTATTTACGGGCAAGCCCATTTGAGAAATAAATTACAATTTTAAAATTATAATTAAAATGTAGTGAAATATATATGGTGTTGAAATACAATCGTGGTATAATTCATAAAATAGGTTAAGAATTTAAAAGATTTAAAAGACAAAAGACAATAAGGTTGAATAAAATAATTACATTAAACATAATTAACGATTAAAAATTAAAGCTCAGTACTAAGTAATTGCTTTATAAATTTATGAAAGGGGGTATTAAATATCTCAAGATCGTTATGAGTGTTGGCTTATCTTAACATTATTGGAATACAGCTGCTAAAAGTATGGTTTAAACGATAAAAAGTTACATAAAATGTTTGTTGCTGTCGAGTTGAGCGCGTTGGAACATAAAGATTTATTTTTGTTAGAAGTTCAGTACAGCTGCATCTTCCATTGATAATTTTGAAAATTAATGTCAGGTCTCTCTGTTTCCTCCTTCCAGGCAAAAATTCCGGATTCGAATCTGGGCTGGGAACTTAACTTTTTTTTCATGTTTATTTATTTTATAAATGAGAAAAATTCATAAATTATTTTAAAATTGGTTATTTTGTTTTTTTAACCTAAAATATTTCTTTAAATTTGTAGAAAAAATATACTGTACGACTCGGATGGATTGTTCATATCCATTCTTGTTGTACAAACTACAATTATACATTATAATGTATAAACTATATAAAAAATGTATAAACTGCTTTTACTTTTATTGCTACAAAATGTATTAACTCCTTTTATTTCCTTCCTCCAGTGACAGAAAGACTTCACCTACCTGCGCTGGCTAACACCAAACTTCTCTCAATTGACTTTATCAAAAAAACATCCACAATTGGATCTTATATTGCAATAATATTTAGGCAGCTGCTATATAGAATAATGTATTCTTCTTTTGTTAAAGTTTGTCAATACTGAATCTTCTAATACTGTTGATTAAACCATCAAAATATTTAATAAGAATAAAAAAACACTAGTTTTACAATATACAATTTTTTTGTACTGTTGACTTGATGATAGAAACTGGTGCCACTTAGAGCTATTTAAAAAATATGCATGGTACAGATTTAATGTTTTATTATTCTTAAGTATTAAGTAATTTGCCACATTTGAGATATATCATAAAAATAATATTTAATTTTAGAGTGGATATGGCATGAGTGAAACTGCTGCTGCAGTGTGGCCGGTCGCAGAAGATTTTAATGATTTCAAGTCAGTAGGAACATTATGTGACCATCTGGAAGCTAAAATAGTGGACAATGAAGGTACCATAGTACCTATTGGAACAGTCGGTGAACTGTATCTAAGAGGATATTCTATAATTAAAAATTATTTAAATTATGATACAGAATTATTGGATCAAGATGGATGGTTCAAAACTGGGTAAGTATTATGATAAGCAGTATATTAATGGATTGAATGAGCATGGATATATTTAAACAGTAAATAAGCTAACGCGAGCTGTTCTATTTTGTTGTTGTTTCTTTAACATTGTTATTCTATATTATTCACTTGTTGGACACGATATGTGCATTAGGTAGAAAACAAAACATTATCAAATTTTGTTAAAACTAAACTAATATATACATGAAGGTTGAGGTTCTGCCAAAAATGATTCTGTAGGTCAACAAATTTTAAATACTGTACATGATTTAGATTTAGTAGCAATGAGTAATGGCAAATCTACTTGTCAAACTCATCCTGGGAGCCTTTCTATGATAGATATTTTCTTGTGTTTGCTACAAATATTTAATGAAATCAACTGGGCGGTAGATGTAGATACATTGGGTTCAAATAACTTCGTTATCATAATAGACATGCCCTAAATGCTAGTAAAAAGTATATTTTTTTAATAAGTTGCATTGACAATACAGCTCACCAATGCAGCGCACCAATCCAGTCAAGAATACAAACCCTTTAAATTCAAAAAATGACAACCTTCTCCTCCTCCTCCTCCTCCTCCTCCTCCTCCTCCTCCTCCTCCTCCTTGGTGGGATGTAGAGTGCGACCAAACTATTAAATATAGGAAAAACGCATTAACTTTTTATAAGCAACAACTTCTTTTAAAATTTTTCCAAATGTAAATGGAAAGTAAAAAACAGCGGACATAATGCTTCCTTGGGGTACACCCTGCTGAATGTCAATTTCAACAGATAATTTTTCCCCAACAGTTATTTGCTGCACTCTATTTGTAAGATAGGACTTTAAAAGAGAGCATGGATTTTCACTGAAACCATTGTAGTGAAATATAGAGAACAGTATCTCTTGATTTAAGGTATCAAACGCTCTGGAGTAGTCAATTAGTACTAGATTACATGCATCATTATTGTCTAATGATTGCACTATGTCATCTGTTACAGAAGTAAGGGCCGTTGTGCAACTGTATACTGTATCCGCTTCTAAACCCTGATTAGTTTAAAGGCAAGATATTAAATTTGTTGACATAAGAGGAAATGCGCTTTTATATACCCTTTTCAAGTAATTGAAACATTTTGGAAAGAACACTAATGCTTCTTAGATTCTAAAATTGAGTAGGGCGAGTAGTTTTTGGAATAGCAATCACAAAAGCATGTTTCCATACAGTAGGAAAAAAATTACTATCAATGCAGTTATTAATAATATATGTTAAATAAGGAACAATAAATGGACAACAAAGTAATAAAAATTCAATATTTATTTGATTAAAGCCAACCGCTTTTGTTTTAATATTTTTGAACAATTCTTCCTGTGTAGTATGGGTAAATAAAAGAGTATATTCCACAGTTGGTATTACATTATTTTTGTAGTACTCTATAATATTTGTATCTGGTTTACGATCATCCCTGGAATCATTAATAAAAAAATGTTTCTACTCATTTGGATTACTTAACGCAGGTAACAATTTCCATCTTTCTTTCGTATTGCAACTGGAAAGTTAAAACTTCATGTATGCCTTCTTTTCTCGTTTTGTGATAGCTGAGGTATAGTTCCCCAATTCTTTATACTACTCCCAATTTGTTGGATATTTCGATAATTTAAAAAATTTTTAATGCTTTGTTTGTTTGTTTTTACATAAGCTTGATGTTATCGGGTATCTCGAAATATTTTGAATTTTTTAAATTATTTAAGACATACAAAGGTATAATTTTACCAAATTTCATAAAAATTATTTTTTTTTAAATGAAAAATTGGCAAATTAGACGATTAAAATACAGATTATATACCAATAAGCTATTAATAACAAAAAAGTCACTATATAATGGGCGTATATAGAAAATGTAGTAGTAATTTAAACGTAAAAGTGTTGTTTCATTTTAAGCCGTTTTAACTCGAATTTATAAAATGATATGATAGAAAACTACAACTAACTATATACCTATTTAACGCTACGTCACTGATTCATTAAATTGAATTAATATATAAATGGTTTGTTAGTCTTCTCAGTAGACCTTCTTAGCAGTGGCGTAGCCAGCCATTTTTCGTGGGAGTGGTTTTTGAGAACTATGGGGGGTTCCATCAAGAAAGGGAATAAAAACAAACAGTACGTAGCGATCCGCGATAATACTATAGCAGAAATTGCGACGTGAGTATCATCCATGGGTGGGTTCTAATCCTCAAACCCTCCCTTTCTCCACCCATGGTATTACATCCACCCCGTGCCTTCGCTACCCTAGTATTTTAACGGTGGAGGGCTAGCGATAAAAGTGCCAAGGTGCGCTTATAATTACTTTTTATTTTGAATTAAAAGGCCAAAGCCGTCGTTAGACCCAGAATAATGTAGGCTTCAAAATAGTATTCTAGCTCAGAGAAGAATCAGGGGTGAGTTTCCTTAAAATATTGCTTTTCAAGGTCAGCTATAAAGTCAAGTCCAGGTATATGAGCGCCACCGAATTTTGGTCAAAGTGCTGAAGGCAGTTCACAAATTATATGATTCACTAGTAGACAAAACGCGGAAAAGTAAACAACAATTGAATCGTAATGTTTATAATGACAGGCCAATCAGTTATTAACAAGATATAGTGCATAAACGTTTGTTAACAAGAAGCTCCTGTATTATAATCTTAAAATAGGATACATATGTAAAGCTAACATGGAAAGAAAAAAATAAAACAGATAGTAGAGCCGTACACTAGCTGGTATGATCATACGCGCTTTACAGACTGTAGGGTTGAAGTCCCACTACGTAACTACTATAAGCCCAATAGTTTAAGTTCCAGCCAAACCACGGAACAAATTAGTGACAAGTGTGTTCACTAAGAGGCAAAAATATATATATACAATAACTCAAAATGGTAATAGTAACAAAATAATATCGATAATATACCAACCGTGATATTATTAATAATGGTATTATTAGTAGTGCTAATATCAAGGGCACAAGGAAAATTAATAATAAAATTATTAGTGATAATATTAATACCGAAGATATTGATAGCACTAATATTTATTATAAAAAACTAATAGCGAGAATATTAATAACGTTAATGTTGATAGTGCTACTAATTAAAAGTAAAATTAATAGTGATAATAAAACAAATTGAAAATGATATCCTTATTCGGTACTTAGCTACGGGTCCGGGTTCCAGCCACTTCAGTCCAATGTTCAGGGTGTAGCTACAATCTATCACCCAATTGATAAATATTCCACGATCACAGCCGGTAAATCGGGAACACCAAAATTGAAACTGCGCCGAATATGAAACGAAAACCATAAAATCCAAAATTAGAAGCAAAAGGGAAAATAAAAACCCTAGAAGAAATAAGAAAAGCCGATATAACAATCAAACATAGTTACCAGAGATTATCAATTAACTTACCTCAGTTCGAAGAGGGTTTACAAAATGGAGGATGCGTGGTCTCTTGAAGAAATTTGTTCGGTGGTAATTGAACCAGAAATAGCAGTATAATTAAATCCCTTGCGGCAAAAATAACGACTGCCAAATATAAGACTAGCTATCAGTCGAAATTCCAAAATAGTTGTGCAAATCAAATCCCGTTTACAACGGTATAACTAACAAATCCAAATCAAACTCGCACCAACACACAGCTATTCACTTTGAAAATCGTCTTCGAAAACACGTTCCTCTAATTTTACTAAATTACGATCGCTTGAAAATTATTGTCAATCAAATTTGACAATTCCAAATTTTGAAATATCAAACTTATATTAAGCACACTGCGTGTGAACAACACACTATCGTTAGCAAGGACACAGTTCGCCGTAAAAATGAAAAACGAAATGGAGCAATAGGAATGAAGTTAATATATCTAAATCTAATATATATACATATATCACACAAAACGAGACCTAATTATATCAACCTTTATAAAATAAAGTGATTAATATATGTGAATTCCAGACCATAACAATGGCTACGCCACTGCTTCTTGGTATTGACGAGTTTATGGCTGATTCAAAGTATTGACCTAACTTGGATAAATATATTATTTGTACGAGGAGTAAATATTATGGAATTATCTCACTTTTCAAATGTCCGCGTGTACGAATCATAAACAATAAAATGATCCCGGTAAGTTGAGCTCTGAAAATCATAATATAATTACATTATTGCAGGTTGACCACAGTGCAATCCGCAAGATGAGTCACCATCATTTAAAAATTGTTCGAGTATATCCGATATACCGAACCAAGATCCAAAAACTATTATTTACCTACTGAAAAATATTTTATAAGGTCAAGAACCTCGTTTTTTATCGCGCGAAGAAGAAGCGCAGGGTGCGCAAGTTATTATATGATCCGTTTCGTAATAACTGAACGGTGTTATCATGTCGACCGGATAATTAATAAATATAATTATTACGCCATCTGTTGAACAGAAGAACTATTATATATGGAATACTGCTCCATCTGTTAAACAAAAAGATTCTTAAATATAACATATAAATGACATCTATCAAAATTAGTTAATGTGCTACTATACTCTGTTTTTAAACTAGGAGGAGCGAATTGAAAGGACGCATTTACACAAGGAAAAGTAACTAGATTCGTTACTAAGAGCATGTTCCAAAATATAGTAGTGTTCAAAATGTATGTAATAGTTGTTATTATCGGACCTAGTCGGCGAACGGCCAATGAGGAGTTAAGGAAAAAATAAATGTCATAAGAGTCGATGTTTTTATTGGTTACAGATAACGGTCGTAAAAATTTCACATTATTGTGTTATGAAAAGTGTGTCTAAAACGAACTGTCACTGTCAAACGAAATTTAATATAGCCGGTGATTTGTTGACGTTATTAGAAATATGTTTTTCTTGCTTTTGAAATCGACTTTTTGAGGATTATGATTTATTTTAAATGGATATTGAATATTTATGAAAATTGAGGGGTATAGAACCAAAGGCGGCAATCTCTATAAGAATTTTGGATAATTGTGAAAAACTGTTTTTAAGTTCCTGGGAAGGTATTTAACTCTTGAGAAAATTAATATATTTGGACAAACCTTGTATACGGCTTAAAAAATTTGATTTTATGGTTGCATTGTAAGTTTTTGATCATGTAGAACTTTTTATCTAAATGTTTTCATAAAACCAATAATAAAAAGTTTTTCATATGGTTCCAACTTAAGTACATGCACTGTATAAATCAGTGTTTATTAAGCTAAATTAAAACAACTGGTACTTTTTTAACAAATTCATAATCTGCAAAAACCAGCAAAAAACGCGAAAATTATCACTCCATACGGCAACCTGATTGGCGGTTTGGAATTTTTGCCGATTTTGGTACAAACTGGCACGTAGAGCTTTCCGGGTTTGAAACTAACCCTGAATTTCAACATTACATTTCAATGGGATTTTAAAGGATTAGGTTTTTATTTTAATCGCTTATATGGGGTCTATTCTGTAACAATTACTTTATATTTAACGGCCTCTAAAAATATTTTCTTCTTTACTTCTGTCATTATTTAAACGGATTTTTAAAATACATTAGAGGACTATCTTAAAGAAATCTGTTTAAATAATGACATAAGTAAATTAACGAATACAAATATACTTTTAAAGACCGCCAATATTTTTAAAGGCCGTTAAATTTAAAGGAATTGTTACAGAATAGACCCCTATGCGTGTTTAAAACTATATATCTAGGTGTTTAACTCATTTTCGAAAAAATGGAGATTGCCGCCTTTGGTTCTAGACCCCTCAATTGTTAAAAGAATATTAAGATGCAGGTTAGTATAAAACATAAAAATATGATCATTTTCAATGATATATTTGTTATAGGTATAAACTTAAGTAATAGGTAATCATTGAATGGCAACTGGATCACACAATGACTGGAATTTCTCCTATGAGTAAAATATGGACATTGTAGCTTATTAAGTGTTAACCCATAGTTAATACGCTAATAGCAAAATGAAGGCATTCAAAAGTTTACAGGATTTGTTTTGAAAACTGGAACCAACATTTTCATCATTAACATTATATCATTACTAAAACTTAACTTAATAATATTGTCGGTCCTTTTAACTAGCTCATTATGCTCGAATGTAGTAGATGGTGTTTTAAATGTGAATTAACAATTTTGTAAATGGATTTATTTTTTAATAAATAAAATTTACTTGAACATTTAGTTATTTTTAATCATTTTGTTAAGAATTTTATCAATTTTTAGTTTTAAAAAATTAGTAATAAAGTTTAGTTTTTTCTGTAATACTTCGGAATTCATCTATTCATGGTAATCTCCCGTCTTTTTGCCTTTAAAACCAATAATGTATGTTCTACAAAATCCTCTTCAGAATCATCATGTAAAATAATAAGTCGTCTTTCCTTTCTTATTGGGTTTTTCTGGAATTGCTACCCTTAATAGTACTCGATGAAGAAGGATCCATAATCGTAGAAATTCAATACAATTGCTTACTAAAGTTCCGAAGAGAACTATTATTTACGAAATAAAGTAAAAACCTAAGTAATAATAATGAGATATCAAAATATAAAATGTCAGAACTGTCAACAATATCAATTATTAGCTGACGTTAATGCTAAAAAGTAATGTGTGAAACTGACTGCAATCTGACCAATCAAAAGTCTACAGAATTGCCAACTTAAATTCAAATCGCTCCTCCTAGTTTAAAAACAGAGTATAGGGGCGTTTGATTTGAAACACGATCGAGCGAGCGTCGAGGAGACCGAGAAGTGATGACCTCACAATAGAGCATTGAATCAAATCAAATAAAACAGAGTAAAAAACATAACCTCTGTGATTCTTGTTTCTGGTTTGTATGTTAAAATAGTGAGCAAAAAGTAAAGAAAATGGAAAAACTTTTAATAATAAGGGGCAATGGCCCTGAAATGCAGCATTTACCAGAAATGCCCGCTTCGCTCTCATACTCCATGACTGTGATTACTGGTGATTGGATCTGGACAGAAAAAATGTATTTTCCAAACACACATTTTGTGTTTTTTTATGATGAATAATTTTAGCTATAAGACAATAGCGGCTAAGTAATTTGTTGACTTCTTGTCTGGTCTTTAATTTTGAGATTCAAATTTGTTTGTAAGTTAATTAAAAAGAGATAGGTAGAGACAAAGACAAATTTCTCCCTCTTCTCGATCTTTCTGCTCTGAGAACATCGAGCTCGCTCTATGTTCTCGCTCCAAAGCGAAACAAACACTTTAGGGATCTCTCGGAGTGTCAATTCAAACACTTTTGAAGCGCTCGGAGATCTCCGATGATCAAATCAAACGCACCAACTGTAGTCTTAAGGCGATTTTAAATCAGTTACTAGAAATGTGACCAAGTCAAGTGTGGTCAAAGTTCTTACGTCATTATAATGACGTTCTAATAATCTGTTTTAAAAATGTTTGGTTTATATTGACACTAACTTCACAATTAGGCATTCCAACGACCTGTCCAAATGGCTACCAGTGGGTAATGACAGTTTAGATATGGCAACCCTGTTGTCATGCTGTCATTAACAGGGTCAATAATACATATATGGTTATATAGATTGCTTAAAGCTGGTCGTTTACGAGCGGCCATATTGCCTGGCAAATATTTATTAATTTGAAACGGTTTAGCAAAAATGTGTTTTAAAACCAATTTTTAGCCTTTAGATATTTAAAAAAAAATAATTGCTTACATTTTTACTTCAAGGCATAAGCTTTTGTTTATTTTGAAAAATATGGATGATCAATCTATGTAACTATCTATTTCATTGAGCTTGTCAAATCACCAGGCCTACAGGGTTGCCATAATTTTGCCATATCATAACCCGTCAAAACCCACTGGTAGCCATTCAGTTTGGAATGCCTAATGGGTATAACATTGGCAGGTATCATGAATTTTTGTTTGTGTGTTATGTAATAGTAGTAGGATTTGTTTTTGAATTTGTAGGGATAAAAAATAAATATTTGTTTTGTTTACTGATCATAGATGAAGAGAAAATTGGTATTATAGTTACTTTGGCCTCTGATTTTTTATCAAAACTTTAGCCATGTTCATTAATAAAGCCTACCTTGAAAATATATTGGCTTTTCATTTGCAGAAACCTTAAATGCATCCATATCTAGGTACTCAGCCAGGGTTGCCAGACGTCGCGCTTTAGGCGTAATGGTCCCGCTTTTTAACTTGCTGGCACGCGTTACGCCAAAGTACAAAAATGCTCCGCATTTTACCTTATTGCTACGTTTTTTAAATTCCAAGTTATATATAATGATATTTTTGACAATGTTTGACCTGTTTTTGAGAAGCTCAGAAAAAGGAATCCGATGGTTTAAATAAATATAAGCGGAGGACCTTTTTTTAGATCTCTACAAAAAAATGAGCTTATTTTATAAAAATACCTGTTCTTTTAACCTGATACCCTATCGTCACCATTGTCTCACTTTTCCCTTTTGTAAATCTTTCTTTCTATTTTACAAATAACACAACCAAACAATGATTTAATAATTAAAAAGTAAAAGTTTTACATTTGTCATTTCATTTGACATTTCATACCTGTGATGACCACGTTTTTACTGTAGTCATGTTAAACTTGACTATTTCAAGACAATATTCAATATGACGTCATTGTTTTTGATTTATATCAGTGTAGTCAATCATATTCAAGACATAGTATCTGATTTAAAATCGCCTTTAATTCAAATCATTTTTAGAATACATTGAGCATCATCCTTGTTAATTTTTATTCCTACAAAAATGTCTTATACCAATTTGATTTAATTTGTTATGTATGTCAGTGTTCGGAGAAGAAAATTATATCTATGAACTTAAAATTATTTAAACATTGTTGCAATATATGTACAGGGCGTTCTAAATTAGCGTGTCAATCTAGTATTTACTTCAGATTTTTTTTTAAGAATGAACATTTTTAAAAATAATTAATTATTTTGAATAAGCGTTCAATTTGCTATAGATCGGTAATTTTTTTGGCTATTCCTTAAATGGTAAAGTTAATTAAATTAGTACTATTTCTTCTGTTGCTATTTAGTAATTAAAGTTGAAAAAGTGTCGCTTATACTCATCATGGTAGTTCTGTTTAAAATTGTACCCATGGACTTCATTATACGATTAAAAAATTTAAATTTTTTTACGATACCTAACTCCTTGAGGAAACGTGCAATTTTTAATTTATTTAAAGTATTTCAGATGTGGTTCTGTTTTTTTTTAGTTCTGCTCATGCCAGTTTATTTTCTTTCTAAATCCTCAACATTTATTTCATTTTTAACGGCATCTGTATCTCGTCTACCTTACGAGATCCCAATTATGTCTTTGTGAAATTATGTACACCCAACCCTGTACATATATTTTTTTTATTTCAGTGATGCTGTATATGTGGACAAAAATGGAAAAATTTATATAACAGGGAGATTGAAGGACATAATAAATAGAGGTGGAGAAAAAATTAGTCCTGCTGAAGTAGAAGAACTATTGCAAAGTTATCCAAATATTGTAGAAGTTTATGTAAGTTGTTTGTTCAATATAATTCTTTTAAAAAAATATTTTAAAACATCACCCGGCTACAAGAATGCTTGTTAAATCTCTCAGTAGCTTTACAAACTTATTGCAACAAGTTATCTATATTATTAAATTTAAAATTTTTTATTTGACACACTAATTTTTATTTCTTGTTTTAAGACGTTTTTTCTTGAATTCCTTTAAAATATTCTTAACTCCACTTTTAAAATTATTTAATTTTTCCATATCAATAATCGTTTGATGTTTAATAAGTTGTATGGTTTCTAATTCCCAAAAAAATATGTTCAGATGTAGTAATTTGCTGCCCAATATAATAAAGTAGATATTTGTTGAATAAGTCGAATAAAAAGACGTAACATAAATTTAATAGGTGTATGACTAAAGTTTATTTTTTTTAGGTTGTTGGTACTTATCACGAAAGACTTGGAGAAGAAGTATGCGCTTGCATCAAATTAACATCAGGTACGACTGTTACATTGGAAGAGGTGAAAAACTACTGTAAAGGAAAGTTGTCATATTACAAAATTCCAACTAGAATTGAAATTATGGACAGTTTTCCAAAGACGCTCATAGGAAAAATACAAAAGAGTAAATTAACTGAATTGGTAAACAATGTTGTAGTAAACTGAATATCTCAAATTATAGAGTACATATTAATTTTTAGTTTATTATACACCTTTTACTTTAAAATTATTCATTTAGCAGTGAGGGTAGACCATCGAGTTAGTATTTTCATGTGGTAGACATACATGTAAGTTAGTATAGGATTAAAAAAATACCAAAAGAAAAGTTCTTTGAAACCTCCAATAGTTATTCTTGGTGGTATCATTGGTTTCTTTTATTTTAACTGAATAATTGAGGCGGTAGCTGGAAAAAGGGCACATAGAGCTGAAAGTGCTTTTGAGATATCCCCGTCCAAAGTTTGTATTCTAGTGCACCATATTACGAGGATGCATCAGAAAATAACGAAACTGGTGCTATAGTATAACAACGAAACATTTATTTAAAAAAATTCAACAACTATCCTTCGAAGTACTCTCCATTCTGTTGAATACACTTATTCGATCGCTTTATCCACTTATCATAAACTTCTGAGAAACCATTTTTTGATAGTCTGTTTAGTATACCCATCACAGCGTTGTTGAGCTCTAAATCCGACTCAAATCTTCTACCTCTCAATTCTTTTTTGACTTCAGGAAACAAATGGAAGTCACATGGAGCAAGGTCAGGAGAGTAGGGGGATGAACCATAATTTCAACCCCTAATTCTTCAATTGTTCGTTGACAAATCATTGATCTATGAGCCGGAGCATTGTCGTGATGCAGCGTCCAGCCAAAGTCCTGATAAAGCGGCCATTTTTTCTTTAATTTTGCCTTTAAGGGTCCTCGAAGTACATTAGAATAGTACTCCCCTGTTAATGTATGTCCTCTAGGTACAATGTGATCGTAAATAACGCCAAATTTATCAAAAAAAAAATCAGGTGCATCACTTTGCCTTTATGCATACTTTGAGACTTCAATTCAAGATCGTAATGATAAAACCAACTTTCGTCACATGTAATCACATTATTTAAAAACTGTGGGTTACGTTGCAATTGCCTTTTCCACTGCTGACAAATTGTCACTCGATTCGCTTTTTGTTCATCGGTCATCACTTTTGGAATCCATCTTGCCGCGATCTTCCGGTACTCTAAATCTTCATGAATAATTTTTTGAGTGGTACCGTAAGACAAATTAACATTGTCAGAAATTCGTTTTATATCAATCCGGCGATCATTTCGTATCAAGTCGTTAATTTCTGCAATTTTTGTGTCATTTCTCGCAGTTTGTGGTCGACCGGGACGAGGTTCATCTTCAACTGATTCACAACCGTCTTTAAACTTTTTATGCCACTCAAACACTCTACATCGTGATAAACTATTATCTAGATATGCACCTTTAAATATTTCAAAAGTTTCAGTTGGTGTTTTACCCAATCGAACACAAAATTTTATCGCGTATCTTTGCTCCACTTTCATTTTTCGATGGGTACGCAAAACACTGACAATTCAATAATTAATTTGTAACAAATGTCAAAAGTTAAATCAAAGCCTACTTGCGGGGTAGTACATTAAATATAAGGCTTTCATGTCTCATTTTTTGGGTTATAAAATGTTACCTTTGAAAGAAGTTATAGCACCAGTCTCGTTATATACTGATATATCCTCGTATTTTACAACAAAATAAATTTCGGATGGTTCAATACAGATCTTTTAACATTGCTTTCAAAAGAGTAAGGCTTTAAAAAACCGATTATATCACATACAGAGTTGATTACAGCACAATAAAAAAGTAGTTTATGTGCCCCTTTTCCATAGAATCATAACAAAATATTAAAAGTAGTTATTTGTTTATTTTTCAATACAATGGCTTTATAAGGGATGATATTCTATAAAAAAACAACGAATTGCTATGACACAAACACTTTAATCCTATAAAAATGTTACTCAGATACAGCATCACTGTCGAGCATGTCGTCCTCGGAGGACCATTCATCGTGACCCTGTTGTATATCACCATTCGCTTTCTCTGTTTCATCAAATACTCCTTGTTAAATCCACTGAATACTTGCCTCTTCGAGGAAACAAAAGAGGCCAGCAACGTCTTTCCTGCCAAACAATGTTATATTTGATGACAGCAGATGTCATCACAAAATATTCGATATTTCGGTCATGTTTCGAAATATCGATATAAAATTTTTAGTGAATGTTACTTAGATATCAGAGACGTCAAAATCGTGTTCTACGCAAAAAAGTCACATAAGGCCATGTGCCCTTTTTCCAGCTACCGCCTCAATTAATGTATTTTATTTAAATAAAATTAAATTAAATGAAATAAAAAGCAATAAAATTAATAGAACTTATATTGTAAAATAAATAATGTTATAATAGAGGATTTGTGGTATAAGTTTTGGTTTCTGCTACCTTTTTTTTATTTTTTTTTTATTTTGTGTACGTGTTTTAAACATAAATTTAATTTTCACTATCCTTAATTCACTCTATCTTGCACAGTTCTATTTTTGTAAAAAATTTGGTTTTAATAATAATTATTGATTATTGCATTTTGATTTCTATTACTGTTTATTTTTAATCTTCTTATACACTTGAATTTAAAATAAATAATCAAATGAGTTTATCAGAGATTTTAATTACCTCCCCAATGACACAAAAGAATGCGACAATATTATCAAATTAAATAAAAACTTTAGTATTTAAGTTTTAAATAACTTTAGACTTTGAAATTATTGTCTCGAAAGAAACCCTTAAAGTCCTGGATATAAACTCCCATAAAATTAATAATTGTAATGTGATGTATAGTGAGGGATCTGTTACATACTGCAATAATAGTTGGTAGCAATCACATTCTTTGATTTTTTTTTACTATACGGAGAATGGTCGCACTGCGCAGCTTTCTGAGTGCCTTTTAAAAGGAGATAGACAACTCCGCCATTTTGAACCCTTATTACGTGTTGCCTACATCTTGGCGCGATATTTTTAATAGGTGCGTTTTAATCATCCGCTTCTGCTTCGGAATTGTCGGTTTTCTTGTTTTAATCTGACAGGTTAAAACGACTAAACCGACAATTCCGGAAGCAGAAGCGGATGACTAAAAATACACCTGATATTTTGCTTGCTGCTGTCAGTGTCAGTGAATATTATTTTTGGAGTCACAGTTTATTGCTAAAGAATCAGTTAGCTCATTCGGAGCAGTTGAAAGTTCCAAAATAACATCCACTCCAGGGATACAAATTCAGGATATGCAGAAGACTGCTGTTTTATTATAGGCGGTTGTCATATATTGTATTATCCGAGTTGAGCAGTGTATAAACTGGAACATTGAGATCAAAAGTGGCGACGCAAAGTGAGCGATCTGATTCTTTAGCTATAAACTGTGGCATAGGAATCAAAATGGACGCGCCCTATGTTGGGCGTGTCGGAACTCTCTCTTGGACCGTATAGTAATCAAGGTATGTGTTTATTGCTCTATTGTGACTTCTTGTTCTCCTAGACGCTCGCTTTTCAAATCAAACGAACCTTTATTATAGGTGTTTCAACTCCCCTCAAATCCCATATAAAAACAAAAGACGATATGGCACCCAACAGAACGTAGTTCCAAAAATCCATCAAAGGTCGTTAGATGATGAGGCATACGTTTGACCATATTAAAAGCTAGATAAAGCATGTTTTAACATCAACATATATCCAACTTCAAGATCTGGCCACGGCATAAAAACAATCGGCAGGCCCACTCTCCGCTGATCGCATACAAATATTATACTAAGAATGTTGACCTTGACGACGCCATTCGGGGGTCTTAGTCAGGGTCAGATTAAAGCGTATTTAAAGATTTTGTAATAAAATAAGGTATTGATAGGCAGGATCGTATTAAAACAAAATAGCTTCACAGATTGCGCCAAATAATTAGATTGTTTTTATTGATGGTCTTAAAATTTCTATTAATATTTTTAAAGCCTTAAATATAACTTAGGACCGATTCCACCGTTGTGTTAAACGAAGTTTAAAATTACATTTTTACATTAACAATGTCATTTTAATCTCCGTTTAACACAACTGTGGAATCGACCCTTAATAACATATATTTATGGAAATCGGGGACAAGGAGCGTCAAATGTTATCTCGGAATTAATTAAATCTAAAAAAAAATTACAAACGCCGAATTTAGTGATAAATAATTCAAAATTGTGATGAAAAAATTATTTCAATTTTTGTTATTAAACATACAAAACTATTATTTGACATTTTTAAATTGCCAAAAATATCTTTATTTGCTTTTTTTGTATGCTTTGTAATAACAATACATGGAGCTTATATCCAAGTCTTCGTGTGTTAAGGCATATTGTGTACATACATCGCAACGTTGAATTTTAAGACATTCTTTTTATTAAAAATCCGCATATATAATAAAATTTTCTTAAAAAATATTAATATTTTGTGCATGCAATTCATTAATATGCTTGTTTATATTTACATTTTCGACAATATTGCCACCATTACACGCGATTTTGGAAAATGGCTCATCCTTACTAGTCCTACGAATTTCATGTTGCCTTACAAGTAAAGCATCCCCACCTGTTTTGCAGTTTTCAGTTCCAGAATGTAATAAATTTAAACAATGCAATTTGGACCGATGTAGGGTTTACACAGTTACCATCATGAAGGAAGGATAAGTAAGAGTTGCAGGTTCCTCACAGAAATTTGGCAGCATGTTTACCTTCAGCGACATATGGAATAGTTTTGTGCAATTAATACTCAGTCGGTAATATAGAAAGATGTAATGCTATTTTAGCTTAAAAATTGGCGGGCTTTTGAATTTACTTCGACAAAATATAAGAATTTTACATTTTTAATAGCACTGCTTAAAACACATGATTTTGATTGTGACTCATTACTAATTTACTACTTATAATTTCTTTAATGGCTAATTAAGATTTTCTTGCTTTTTGTAATGAAAAAACTTTAGATTTATCAAGATTATGAAGCTTTGTTATTTGCATATCTAGAATAATTATCAAAATGAATAACAGAATTAAATTTTTGTTAAGCATTCAATATTTGGGAATAACACAATTACGATTAATATTCATTTTTTTTTTCAGTAAAATTAATTATTTCATACAAAAAATTCTGCTTGTTGAAGAAAATTACAAGAAAAAGTTCCCTTTTAAAGTTATGAAGGAAAACCGATAGGAAAACTGTGACTTTTCTTCGTAAAATCAATAAGGTAATACAGATTTTTTTCTTCTGTCAATTTTAAGTTTCTTCATTTATTAAGACCATGTACACCTAACCTAACATATTAATATAGTAAACCTATTTTTATGTCAAACAGAATTTTTTTATAATGACTTTTTTCTTAAAATAAAAATAAAGATTTTTCCATTTTGTCAACTCCGTACGGGAGATGTTTAAAATATAACATTTTACTTTAAATCTTAATAATATACCTACATAAGTAAATATAAATTGACGCTAAACTTTACGTGATGTTAACTAGGCACTTACCTACATCTTACTAATAGCTTTATAACTGACAAACTGACTCATAAACTAGGATTTTTTTAAAAGTATACCATACATACCTAATAAGATCTTTAAGAAACCGAAAAAATTTTTTAATACAGTTTATTCATATAGTTTTTAGCTGCACAACTTTGCCCAGACATAGTAAAACACTTAAAAGTTAACAAATTAACACTGGAAAACAACTACTATATAAAAAGTGTCAAAAAATATCTATATTTCTAAAAAAATAACAATAACTACATAATACAAACATCACAAACAAACTAAATTTAAGATACACGCGACTGATTCCGAGCTGCTGCAACTTGTTTGTTTTTGTCGATATAAACGACGACAGTGACGCCACTGGCTTGATTGAGAGGTTGGACCCCAAAATGGCGGTGTGCGCGTAGATGTGCGCGTAGCGTTGCCGCCAAGACAAGTTAGCCTGCCGATTGTTTATTATGCCGTGATCTGGCCATACGTTGATTGGTCAATCATATGACAGGTTATCATACTAATGTTCATGCAGCATGACATATATTATATTCACGAACAAATATAATTGTATTTTATTTATAATTCTAATAATTTTGCAATATTATTTATTGTTGCTAGTTAAAGTAATGCTTTTTTATCTTTGTTGAGGTATTGTTAGTTAGTCGTAGTGGACGAACTCATAAAAAGACTAATATTTGCAGACATATACTGCCTAGGGTATGCCAATGGCCTGATGATCGTCGTAAGAGGTGAGATCGCAGGTACAATATTGGAGCGCGCACACAAACCGCTCTAAACATCGTTGATGAGGGGTGTAGAAATGAGAAACTAACAGTAAATCTTCACAAAAACAAAATAGTCAACTTTACAAAAAAAAATTGATAGAAATAAAGTCACCAGTTATAAAATGACTAAAGATTCTATTTGCTCAAAAGACCCACTATTTGGGAGTCATTTTTGATCACAGGTAAACATGGAATCAATATTTGCAAAAAGTCACCCAAAAGAGCATAATATCCTTGAACTTATATCTCGAAGGTTGTGTGAAAAAAATTGAGGATTACAACCGAAAATGTCCCTATGTAATAATGCCTATAACAACCTACGAGTGGTATAGCGGCCCAAGACTTCGCAAGCTGGAGTTATTCGACCACTCAACGGTATTCAATAGCAAGCATGCCTGAGTACCACAGGAGCCATGAGAACGACTCCAACAGCAATCTAGAAGTCATGCTAAACCTAACACCATTACATTGATTTACTCAATACGAAGCCAGGTCTATCACATACAGACTGCACAAAGGTTCATCAACCATAAGCAGTTTGCATGAACATGACTACAGCGAGCTATATAAAGAGTTTGAAAACGACTAAATAATGCGAATGCCTTCAAAAGAATTGTTTTCAAAGGTAATATAAAATAAATATATTAGACAGGAGAGCGTGGACAGGAGGACCTCCTATTCACGCAGAATTTATCTGGTATTCAGACAGCTCTAAAACCCTTGAAGGTTTAGTAGTAAGTATATACAGTACTAAGCCAAAGACAAGAATTTCACTGACTTAGGAAAACATGAGACAGTATTATTAATAAAAATAGTAGCAATACATCACTGCGCAAAAGATATATTAAGACACAAGGTAAAAGTAACAATCATTGTCATATACTCAGACAGTTAAGGGACGTTACCAGCACTTCTGGTACACTCACAACTTGTGTGGGAATATTTGGAAGCCCTACAATAGCTGGATAGTCAAAAGAGACTAACTAGGCCACAAATGATATAAGGGCAACGAAGAGACTTATTTACTTGCCCGAGAAGGATCAAAGGCTCTTATTGGTACAGAACCCTTCTGTGGTGTCACAAAGCAGTGGATGTTTCAAAATCGCAACAATAGTGGAAAAATTCACCAAGACAGAGACAGGCTCAAGAGTTCTCAAAAGGACCATCGCCTAAACTCACC